CCAAGAAAACCATAAATAAAATACAAAAACATAAATCGCACCCACCGTAATACAAAATCACCAGTAAGTAAAGCATGTGTTAAAAAAGGAAAACAGAATCAATAAAACAACAAAGGCCACAAATAAAAGACATAACGCTAATGGCAAAATCGCTAACACGAAACTGAAAGAGAACTGGAAATATTTTTTTCGTGTTCAAAATGATATTGGGAAAAACTGATATATTTTCAACAAAGTTAAAAGTTTTTTTTTTTACATTTTATTCGCATAGATGTGTATATATTCATGCATTTAATAAAAATCAAGATACAAAAGCATTCACAACTTAATGAAATTTAACAAATTTTTTCCAAGTCTTTTGAAAAGCAAACATTTATTGCATTTTTTTAAGGTATACTTTAGGGCGTTAGGAAAGAAAGATGAGGTAAATTGATGCGCGTGCGCACCGTCACGACAGAAAATGCTTGTTTAGAAATATACAGAACGGGCAGATCATTTCCACCTTCGAAATTCTCAGAAAATATTTCTCTTCACTTCCCCTGAAGAAGGGGACACCGGGTTTTGAATCTGGGACCTCTCAATCTGCAGTCGAATGCTCTACCATTGAGCTATACCCCCGCGTCAGCGAATCTTTGCTTTGCTTTCTGTAGGGGCGGATACGAAAATGCTTTGTCTAGAAATATATAGAATGGGACAAATCATTCCCACCTTCAATCCCCAAATAATAATAATAATAAAAATTTCCTTCACTTCCCTGAAGTAGGGGGCCACTCAGGTTTGAGCCGGGGACCGTCGATGTGCAGTCGAATGCTCTATCACTGAGCTATACCCCACTTCAACGAACCTTTTTTTTGCTTTCCGTAGGAACGGATGCGAAAATGCTTTGTCTAGAAATATATAGAATGGGACCGAATCATTCCCACCTTCAAAATCCCCCTAAATAATAATAATAATAAAATTTCCTTCACTTCCCCTGAAGTAGGGGCCACTCGGGTTTGAGCCGGGGACCGCTCGATGTGCAGTCGAATGCTCTATCACTGGAGCTATACCCCCCTTCAACGAACCTTTACTTTACTGCTCCGTAGGAACGGATACGAAAATGCTTTGTCTAGAAATATATAGAATGGGACAAATCATTTCCCACCTTCAAAATCCCCCAAATAATAATAATAATAATAAAAACTTGCCTTCACTTCCCTGAAGTAGGGGCCACTGGCTTGAGCCGGGGACCGCTCGATGTGCAGTCGAATGCTCTATCACTGAGCTATACCCCACTTCAACGAACCTTACTTTGCTTTCCGTAGGAACGGATACGAAAATGCTTTGTCTAGAAATATATAGAATGGGACAAATCATTCCCACCTTCAAAATCCCCCCCAAATAATAATAATAATAAAAAATTTCCTTCACTTCCCTGAAGTAGGGGCCACTCGGGTTTGAGCCGGGGACCGCTCGATGTGCAGTCGAATGCTCTATCACTGAGCTATACCCCCACTTCAACGAACCTTTACTTTGCTTTCCGTAGGAACGGATACGAAAATGCTTTGTCTAGAAATATACAGAACGGAACAGATCATTCCCGCATTCGAATTCTCAAAAAAATATTTCTCTTCTCTGAAGAAGGGGGCACCCGGGTTTTAACCGGGGACCTCTCGATCAGTCGTCGAATGCTCTACCACTGAGCTATATTATTCGATATCTTCCATTTTTTTATTCATTTCACCATTGGAATGTGCGTCTAAATAATTGCACATACATTTCATGATGCTTCTCGTTTCGAATGACGTGAAAACAGGAGCTGAATTATTAATTTCATTTTCACCGTCGGAATCAATGGTATCAATGATATTTTTTTAGCTTTAAGCAAACCCCAAAATCTCTGTCTGCTATAATTGGCGCTGCACACACATTATCATCCTCTACTGCAACAAATTCTTCCTTTGATACAATAGGACAGTCAAATAATAAAGAAAAATAACCAGTGAAACCACCTTTCATTTCTCACCTCTTTAAAATCTCTGGTGTTTTCCGTATATTGTTCATTCCCAGGAGGAAAAACTTTTCGTGTTAATCGATTTTCGTTTCATGTTAAGAAATAGAATGGATGAAATTACGTAGTAGTTTGTCGGAATCGTTGTATTATTTCGTATTAACTGATATTTCATCTTAAACGTTTTCGCATTAAACGTGTATTTCATTGTAATTATCATCATTACATGTATATTTCTTCTTGATTTCCTGTTTTGATGGTCCGTAGTACTTTTCTATTTTAGTTTAGCATGAAACTACTTCTTGAAGGAAGATTTAATCCAATTGAATGAACTAGACGTATAGATGATTTAAGATAAGAATATACATAAAATAAAATTATACATTCGGAACCGAACATCAAAAACCGGAACTGAACCGATATATTTTATTGTTAGTTAAAACTGAACGAAGAAATTACAGTTAAAGAGCTCTGTTTGTCGCTCGATTGTTCAAAATAGCGAAGTTCATTATCAGTAATCTTCGCGTCGCTTCAGAGAGTGTTTCACAACAAACAGTAAAATAATGCCTTTTCGCTACCTAGACTTATATAACGACCAAATTTGTTAAAGGGACAAAAATTATTAAAAAATAAATAAATAAATTTTCTTTTTGTATAAAGAATATATTTTTCTACAAAAATATTATTATATAAAACTGTAAAAAAAATTGATTTTTTTTTCACTCAGGTACAATATAAAAGAAAAAAATAGCTATTTCCAGATTTGGCTAGAAAATCTGCTTTTAAAATTGTATAACTGTATATCTCTATTTTTTAAAGATCAATTCATTTTAATTTATTAATTTAAATCTATTAACTGTATAATTAATCAATTAAAATATATTTTTTAAAATTTATATTGAAAAATAAGATTTATAAGTTTTATTACTGTATTCGTAGAACTAAGGAAATTCTGTTTTCACAGCAGAACTTTTTACACTGGTATAAAATTGCAGGAAATTTAGCAGTTTAGTACCATTAAAAACGTACTGTATTTTTGGTGGTGGTGCAGGTGGTGGTTAAAAGAGGGACTAAGGAATTGATATAATCACAACGCCATTTTTAGTGAAATTTTCTGGATCCCTCAATTCAAGAAGCAATGCCTTAACTTACCGTCTCAAATTAGCATGAGTTCGATTAAACTACTAATTGGTCAATAAATTAACATGCTGGAAGCGGCGTCAAACTGGAATGTTGATTTTGCATTAACTCAGTTTGTATTTTCTCCTGGAAAACAGTTTTTTTCTTTTCTTTTCTTTTTCGTAATTGGCTTTAATGAGCTATTTGAACATTTGAAACTTTTATTCTTGTTAGAAGAGTGCAGTTCATCAATTTTTGCTTGCTGCAAATGTCCATTAATCTTCATGCACTTAATGACCAGCTGATAAAGGCCATTTAAATGCCCTTTTTTGAATGTTGCATAAAATGGTCAAAATTAATTGCGCTGTTAAATGCAACGACCTAAATTCCTCCTTTTTTGATTTTCAAGGTCAGGATATATGAAGCAGTAATGTCTCTCGTTTGTTCCTAGAATTTGCAGTGAATTTTTAGTTACTTTAATGTAATGGGGAAATTTTGATTTATGAGATATAAGTTAAAGTTTTAAATAATACAGTCAATTAGTTATATATATATATATATATATATATATATATATATATATATATGGCATCCAAGAAATCCAGTCGTTCTCATCATCTAGCCACGCAGTCTTCGCGCGCAGGCGCAGCTAAGTGAAACTGTAACAGAAACTTTTGAACTAGTGAAAGTAGAACCAAAAAACTTTAAGACTTTAGAGAAAGAGAGAAAGCGGAAAGGAGAAAGACGGAGGTGCGCGAGCAGGCGTTACCATGAACCTATCATCGAAACTTATCTGTTAGAATAGCTACCTTTTTAATTAATTTTTGTTAAATGTTAAAATAAATGTTAAAGAAAGACAAAAGTCTTGGACCCCTTGTTGTCTCCCACAAATTATGGGGTTCAGCCGCGATCGATAAAATTTCGATTTGATCAAAGTCTGGACAATGAACAAAGCGTCCGTGAAGGAGACGCTCCGCCATTTTTGGAAACTTCGTTCAACCTGTGTAGAGGTTTGAACTCAGCATGAATACTCCGCCTGTGTAGAGGCCGGGATTGAAAAAATTTCGAATTTGATCAAAGTTTGGACAGTGAAAAAAAGGCCGTCCGTGGAGGAGACGCACCGCCATTTTTCGGAAACTTCGTTCCGCCTGTGTAGAGGTCGGAACTATTAACAAAATAACCTGTGTAGAGGTTATATTTTTCATCGAACCCTAAATATTCCGCCTGTGTAGAGGTTGGAACTATCGTCGAAAATTCTGCCTGTGTAGAGGTTGGAAATATCACATAAACACATGCGAAGAGGTGTCAATTCGAACAATTTATCTGTTCAAGAACTATAGTTCATCTATAACCTGCGAAGAGGTGAAATCAACGTTTTTCTTCAATTATTGGATACATCGTACATGCGAGCAACAAGGGAGCTAAAAAAAAGGTAGGATCTTTTCCATATTTTTCTAAAATGTATAAAAACTCTCTTAAAGAGGATTTCATAAGAGTTGTTGAGGATCTAGACGGTACTGTGGAGAAAACGGACACTATAGCTAAAACTAAAGACTAAAATTGAGAACAGTAGTACATTTGAAAGTGATCCAGATTTCGTTAAAACTTTAATTAAAAAATTGTATAGATGAAAGGGTATCGCGAAACGAAAGAGAGGCAACTTTAGAAAAACAGAAAATTGAGCTCTAAACTTCAGTTAGCTCAGTTAGAAAAAGAAGTCGAACTTCAAACGGCTAAAAATGAAGCATTAAGTTTAAATCCTGCAGCTAAAGTCGAAGATAAACAGTTTTAAACGAACATAGAAAATATGATCAAAAGTATTAAAACTTTATCTCTTCCTGTTCCCACCAGATCTGAAAATTTTAATCTGTTCTTCCAATCATTAGAACGCGCATTTTTAACCAAGAAAATAAATGACGAATATAAATCTGAAATTTTAATAAATCTTCTGGGCGAAAGAGCTCATAACGTCTTATTGTGTATTAAAAAGGAGGAATTAAATGACTATGAAAAACTAAAATCTATAGTACTCAGAGAATTCCGATTAACCCCTCGCGAAAGTTTAAACTCATTTAAAAATGCTGTAAAATCTTCAGGCGAGACATACATCCAATTTGCTGCACGATTGACGGCAAACTTCCAATATTATTGTTCGTTAAGAAAAGTTAATTCCTTTGAATCTCTGTGCGATCTTGTAATTTCTGATAAATTATTTGAAACTTTAAATAAGGAAACCGCAACTCATATTAGCATTCGAGAAGCAGAAGATTGGTTTAGGCCTATTGATTTAGCTAAAGAGTGCGATATTTATATTTCATCTAGAGGCGGATGACATAAAGAAATTCCTATTACTTATGGATATACCGAAGACCCCTTTAAAAATAGATCACAAAACTTTAAACCCAAGATTAAAGAGAACTTTCCCCAATATCTTGAAAGAGAAAATAAAAATTGCTTTATATGCGGTGATTCATCTTATTACGCAAGAGATTGCGAGGAGCGTTTTAAGCCTAAATAATCCCACATCCATAATAGAATAAACGTGAATACTTTGAAAGTCGAGAGCGAAAAACAAAATAGCGATGAGTTGGCAAATCATCAATATGTAAGCATTTTTGTAGAAAATCAGCCCGTAACAGCCTTGATTGATTCAGGTTGCCAGATCCCAGTTTTAAATTCCTCACTAATTAGAGTGAACCAGCCTTCCGAAGAGATCATAACATTAAGCTCGTGTCTTGGCGAACAGTTTATAAATATTTCTCTTGATCAACACTCTCCCGGTCTAAGTGTTCGAACGGCAATATCACCGACCTTGACTGAAGAATTTATTATACATCCCAGTGTATATGCTGAAATAAAGAAACTAGGCCACGCAAAGAGCGATGTTTTATTGAATGAAGTGAATCCTCTTTAGGTGCAGTTTCTTTTTCAAATGTTTCTGTTTCAAGTGTGATAAAAAACTCTAGTTATGATTTTGCCACATGTTAAAAACTTTAATACTAGAAATGATTCGAGTTCTCTTTTAAGAATTATAAATGTAATAAAATTAAGAGTACTAAGTTAAAATTGAGTATTATAAGAGAAAAAATGTTCTGATATAGTATTGTGTAAGAAAGTCAATGGTGCCATGAAAACGAGTTCCGTGGAATTTATCTCCCGCTCACCTACCCCTTCAACTATGAAGAGTAAACAAAGACGGTTTGCAATGCTCCGAAGGATCTTTGAGCCCTGGAAGTGAAAACGGAGGAAAAGAGAGATCGTTTTGAACAGACGTCTAGAACTCTAGAGAGGAAAATATCGATGCGTTCAACCAAAGAACTCATTAAAAGACGTTCTTATGCCTGTGAAAAACACAATGTGTTTTCCCTGTGGAACTTCCCCTGATGTCGAAGAGATGCCTTCACATGATGGAGAAACTGTTTAGTTCAGCAGAATT